GCCTCAGAAACCCAAGCAGGGGTCGCTATGAGTCGAATCTACTGGACGGCAGTGTGTTTGGTTGGTTTTTATAGTCCTAACCCCAGACCTGCTGAGTCAGAACCCTTAGGGGTGGGGCCCAGGAAACCGCATTTAACAAGCTCCCAGGGACATTTGAGACCCATGTGCCCAGGGCAGGAACTCCTGGGCCAGGCTCTCCAGCTGCTCGCATAGATGGGAATTTATTCTACCAAAGTTCTTCAAATCTAAACAGAGGGATCCCAGCCATTGTCAGATTAAAGCTCTGGAGAAATAAACCATCTCCCAAGAGGGAAGGAGGAAGAACATTTTGCCAAAAAGCCAGGAAAAGCCCATTTCTGCCTTCTGCCGCTCCCAGTCAACAAGCCTGCTGTTGCTTCATATCTTGATTGACTATCGCTCACCCAAAATAACCAGACTGTGTCATCCCACCAGCTGCAGCTCTCTCCAGCTCCACTGAATCGAGCAGCCCAAAACATACTTGGCTCCATCCTAACACAGCAGCAACTCCACGGGCTCCATCTGTGCAGAGCACAGGGCCCGGGAAGGGTCCCTCCCTTGTGGCCACCTGTGCTGAGTTGATTATGTCTCATTCATATTGGGAAATGGGGTCTTTGCAGGTGAAAATCAGTAAGCATTGAGATGAGATCATACTGGAACGAGGCGGGCCTTAAATCCAACAACTAGTGTCCTTGGAAGACAAAGAGAGGACATAGGGAAGGCAGCATGTGAACGTGGAGACAGATATTGGAGTGATGCAGCTACGAGCCAAGGGATGCACCAGAAACTAAGCAACAGCAAAGAAGTATTCTTCCCTTAGAGCCTTCAGAGGGAGTATAGCTTTCTAGCTTTCAGAACTGAGCACATATTTCTGTTGTTTTAAGACACCCAATTTGTGGTAATTTGTATAACAGTCCTCAGAAATGTATATGCCATCATTGCTGTAGACCCCTGCCCCAGATCAGACCACCCCACTCAGCCCCACTACAACGGTGACGGGAAGGACACCCCACACAGGTAATTCTCCAAAAGGGCATTTTATAGTCAGAGCTATTCTCCCAACCAACATCTTAGAATTTCTCATCCAGTAGGCCTGTTTCCTTCACAAGGATGCCCATATTCCAGGAAAGATAAGCTTGAGGAGTGGCAAATAAATATTGGTCCTAGAGGCAGTGTCTGGCAGGTGGTGGTCCCCAGACTTGCTGAGTCACTGCAGCTTCATGCCACTCCGACGCCGTGAGTCCTTGCGAGCAATGGGCCTGAAGTTGACGATCTCCTTGTAGATGTGCTCTGAGGAAGGCAGGGTGGCTCAAGGTGGGTAAAGGGGCACTGAAGGCAAGAGTGTACCCCTCAGACACAGCATGGAGCAGGGAGTCCGTTCAGAAAGAAAGAAGGACAAGTAGGAGACAATAGCTAGTCTGAGAGCAGGGACAGGAGACTCTGGGAGGGTGGTGGGGCGGGCTGAGGTCAGGCATGAAAACAAACAAGGCAAAGAAGAGTGAGCCTTGCAGGCAGGGACAAGAAGGAGACCAAGGCCTCAGCTCTTACGCTTCCATTCTTCCACCGTGAGTTTCTCACGCTCTAAGGAGTCATCAATCGGCTGCTGGGCCTCCGTCTCCTCCTCAGGGTCCCGGAAGGGTTCAAAGAAGGGGTGGGCGAGGGCCTGGGAGACCGTCAGGCGCTTGTCCACATCCAGCTCCAGCATCTTCTCCAGCAGGTCTGCAGCTGCAGTAACAGAGCCATAAAGCAAGCCTCTTCAAATATGGGCAGCCCAGGAGAGCCCACCCACCAGGTGTCATGAACACTGGGACAAAAGAGGCCTTCCAGGCACAGGACCCCAGGCTTACCCTGTGGGCTGGCACGAGGGAAGAGCTGAGAGAAATCCTTCTTGGGACTCTGTGGCAGGGACTGGATGTAGGATTTGGCCTGGAAGACAGAAAACCAAAAATCAAACTCATTGCCATTGAGTCGATTACTTGAGTTCCAAAGCAGTATCTCTACAGAAATAAATTGCCCAATCTTCCTTTCGAGGGTTTGAACCACCAGCCTTCTGGTAAGCAGTCAAATGCCTTAGGCACTATAAAAGCATGCAGTAATCACCACCTGTCAACCCCTCAGGGCTCAGGTCCTGAGGCGTATGGAGCTGGGGTTGCAGAAAAGCCCTAGTGAACAGGGCTGAAGGCTCAGGTCAGAATCAAAGGTAGGATGAAGGTAAGAGCACCTGTCAGGTAGAGGGGCACTGGGGGAAGGTGGAGATAACCCCTCCTCCCCAGAGGCTCCCAGAGCAGCCATGCCCACAGCCCAGGCCCCATTTGTCCCTCACCGCCTTGTCATTCAGCTTCTGCACAAACTCTGCATCTGGCACCCCGGTCACTTTCAGGATCTGGGTCAGCTGGTCCAGGTCTGGTCAGCGGGTTAAGGCCAGCCTGGTTCTCTGCAGATGGATCGGAGGTTGCCTTTCCTGCATTCCCTCCCCATCAATCCTGCTGTGGGCACAGTCCAGGCTCCAGAACCACCTAACTCCCTCCTGCTTTCAGGAGAGGAGGTTTGTCCTTCAGCACTGTCTCCAGAAGCCTTCCTGACCTGTCAGGCCAGGTAAGGATCCTGGTCCTAGAGTGCTTCCTTCCCAGTCCTTATTCCACCTAGTTATCACCGTATTCCTCCTCATGTCCTTCCCCACCCCTCACACTGAGATCCGCAGGGCAGACTCTGCATCTTCTTATGTGAGTTTCTTATATGGCTGCACAGGGCCAGCACACGTAAGTGCTCAGTTAGCTTGCGAGGTCCAAAATTGAAGTATTGCCTACCAGGGATAAAGCTACAGGTAATTTCTGATTGTTGGTGGCTATGGAGTTGGCCTCCAACTCATGGCAACCCCATGCACAAAGGAATGAAACACTGCCCAATCCAGTGTCATCCTCATGCTTGGTTGCAGATCAAACTGTTGTGATCCATAAAGTTTCATTAGCTAATTTTCACAAGTAGATCACCAGGCCTTTCTTCCTACTGTGTCTTAGTCTAGAAGCTCCACTGAAGTCTATTCAGCATTACAGCAACACTGAAGCCCCCACTGACAGACAAGTGGTGACTGTGCTGAGGTGCCTTGGGCAGGAATCCAACCCAGGTCTCCCACATGGAAGGTGAGAGTTCTACCACTGAACCACCAATGTGCCCACAGATGACTAATTTTCTCCATTTTGCTTATCTGCATTTAAAAGTTGTTCCATAGGGAGCATGTATCACTTCTGCATTAAAAAAAAAAATTACATCAAGAATCTGTTAATGAGTGGGTCCTTGAATGAAGTTTAGCCTTTTCCCCAAAGGATACAATCCTTCCCCTTGAACAGTGTTTTCCCTGTCAGCATCTCTGCCATGATACAGCCAACAGACCAGATGTCCACTGCAGAGGGAGGGGAGGAAGTGTCACCCCACCATCGACCAGGATCAGGTGACCAGTCAGCAACAATAACCAAAATGGCCTCAGGGAAGCTGCCCCATGCCCAGCCCAGATGGCAGCTGACCACTGACCAGTCTGGTTATAGTGCATCCAGCTGAGGATCACCTCGGGGGCCCGGTACCAGCGGGTCACCACGTAGCCAGTCATCTCAGCATCCGCTTGCCGTGCCAGGCCAAAATCCAGGATCTATGGCTCAGAGGACACAGAGGAAGGAGCTCACCAAGGGGAGGGGGCTCCTGAGAAACTTCACAAGGCTCCTGTAGGAGATAGACACACACCCCACCCCCCAAGTTTGGGATGACCCTGCCTACGGCCACTCACCTTCAATTCACAGTCCTCATTCACAGCTAGGTTGCCTGGTTTCAGGTCCTGGGACAAGAGGAGAAAGAGTGAGCACTGTGCTGAGAAGCAAAGATGGGACATTCATCCTGGCTGTCACTACCCAGCTATGTGACCTCAGCCAGAACCCTTACTCCTCTCTGGGCCTCAACCTGCTATGTGACCTCAGCCAGGCTCCTTCCCCTCTCTGGGCCCTAGACTCCTCATCTGGCAAATGAGAGTTGGACTAGGTGTCTTCTAGGAACCTGTCTAGCTCTAAGATGTTCCTTCTTCTTGGAGCCTGAGACATACAGCTCAGAGCTTGTTTCCTTTGTGGTACTTCCCTATAGTGTTCCCCTGGGCCAAGACTGGGTCTGAAAACCCCACATTCCATGTTCCTGAGGACCATCCCTTCCCTCCACCTTTCCCCACTCCCTGGCTGCCAGAGAACCTCTCCAGGGATGGGAGTAGCAGAAACAGCACTCACCCTGTGGATGACCCCAGCTGAGTGGATGTACTGTGTGGAGAGAGAAAGAGAGAAGGGTGACTCCACTGCCCCAGCTTCTATACCAGGCCCTTCAGGCTGGCTCAGAAACCTCTTCCACCCTGTCACAATGGGCTTCTCCCAAACCCCAAGGCCTGTTGCTGTTGTTAGTTGCTTCTAGAGTCCGCTCTGACTCACAGCCACCTTGTGTATAACAAAACAAAAATTTGCTGGGTCCTGCACCATCTTTAAAGAGCCCCAGCGGTGTAGTGGTTAAGGCATTTGTCTGTTAACCAAAAGGTCAGTGGTTCAAACCCACCATCTGCTCTGTGGAAGAAAGATGAGGCAGTCTGCTTCTGTAAAGATTTACAGGTTTGGAAACCCAATGGGGGTTGCTATGAGTCAGAATCGACTCGATGGCTGTGAATTGGGTTTTGCTTGGTGCCATCTTGATGACCTTTGGTATATTTGAGTCCATTGTTGGGGCTATTGTGTCAGTCCATCTCATGAGGGTTTCCTTTGTTCTTGCTGACCCTCTACTTTATCAGACATGATGTCATTTGCAAGCAATTGGACTTTCCTGATGATGTGTCCAACGTGAGTGAGCCAAAGTCTCACGATCCTCACTTCTAAGGAGCATTCTGATTGGCCTTCCCGAAATCACAGGTTTCCCCTCTGTGGCACTCCAAGCCTCCACCCACCTTAAGACCTTTGAGCATCTGATACACCAGGTACTGAACCTTCTCCTCACTGAACTCCATCCCCATGATCTTCTGCAAATCTGTCTGCATGAAGGGCATCACCAGGTAGCTGGAAGGCACAAGGGATTCTTGGCTCAGTCCCCAGCCCCACCCAGCCCCAGGTCTGAGCTTAGAGGAGGGGTGTGGGGTAGGGCAGAACAGATGACCCCTGGTGTGCCAGAAGAACCAGCCCCTCACAGCCAGACAGACCCCAACACAGGCCTCCTGACTCCTGGCTCCCAGCCTCCGCATGGCAGGCTGCCCAGCTGGCAGCCCTGAGTAAGCATTTAAATTGGAGTATTCTCAGGGAAAACCCAATGAAGCTGTATTCTCTCTCTTCACAGGTGCCCTGTCCTTGCCTTCCTCCATGACCCACAGAAAGCCAGCAGCTGCGAGTTAGAAACATCTGTGAGCATTTCCTTCTGTCCCTATCCAAATATTTTCTCTCCTGGAGATTCATGCCCAGCTGAGATGGCTCCATGAACAAACAAAATATCTGCCCTTCAAAGAAAGAAACAATATTACCACTTCCAGGAGGTTGGAGGCAGGAAGGAGGAGATGGCTGGGCCATTGCATCCTCTTACAGGAATGCAAAACAGACCAGGATCAGCAAAATGTAACTGTTCCTCAAGATTGTAATCGCAAAGTCCAGAGCGAAAGTAATAAACATTAAAAAGAAAAGAATGTGCTTGAGGTCATCTCCATGAGCCTCTGGATTTTTGAAGCCTTTTCTGTCTGAAGGCTTTCTGGTGGCATAGTGGGCAAGGCATTTACTAACCAGAAGGTTGGTGGTTCAAAGCCACCAGCTGCTCTGTGCAAAGAAGATAAGGCAATCTACTTCCATAAAGATTTATAGCTTTGAAATTCAATGGGGGTCACTATGAGTTGGAATCAACTTGATGGCAGTGGGCTGGGTTTGGTTTGTTTTTTTCTGCCTGACCACATTCCCTCCTCCTGCCAAGCCCCTGCCCCATTCACAATCCCCCTCTGCTGTTTGTGTCTTTCACTTCTATGTGGTCTCTGGTTCTTTCTTCTCATTGGACAACTTGCTGAAGTCTCACTGTCCTGGAACCACTTTCCCTTGACCTTGGTTCTTCAAGCGACCACTCCTTTTCCAAACTCTTTCCCTCACTACCAAACTTCTAGGATGGGTGGTCCACACTCCTTGGCCCAATTTCTTAACTCCCAAACCTAAAACCTGTTGCCACTGAGTCAATTCTGACTGATGGTGACCCCCTGTGTCAGCAGAACACATAGGGTTTTCAGTGGCTGCTACCAGCCACTCCTCGGAAGGAAGATTGGGCAATCTACTTCTGTAGTGATACCACCTCAGAAATCTAAGGAGGGGTTGCTATGAGTCAGATCTGACTCAATGGCAGTGAGTTTGGTTTTTGGTTTTTGGTTACTCTTACATAAGGAGATCACCGGGCCTTTCTTCTGTGGTGGCACTGGGTGGATTTGAGCTGCCAACCTTTTGGTTAGTAGTCAACAGCAAACCATCTGTGCCACCCAGGGGCCTTAGCCCTTATAGCCTAGTATAGCCTAGTTTCTACTGCTGCTTCACCAAGAAAACTGTTCAAACACAGTTTACCAACAAGTGGGATCAAGGCCCAACAGATACACACAGTTCCCATTCTTCCTATGTGACCTACTGCAAAGTCTGACCTCTCTCAAAGCTCTCTGCTGATTCTCCTTTTATCTTAGCATATTCTACACTTACTTGCTCCAGGTCCAGACCTAGATCTTCCTCTCCTGAGTTCCAGATTTATTTGCAACTTCTGGTTAAATGTCACAGGCAAGTTCTTATCTTTCTCCCAACACCAGTTCTTCTTCCTCCATGTGTTCCAAACAGGAACCTGGGCATCCCGCCTGCCTAGACAATCTCATTCAGTCTCTGCATCCCAGCAGATACAACATTCTGTTCCAAATGGGTCTCAAGTCTGCTCTTGGCATTGTATTGCCTATACTTTAGATCAAGGTCTAGGTCACTAACACTAGCCTCCAGACCTTCCCTCATCCTCAGAGCTGCTTCCCGCTCCCTTCTCACTGCTACAAGACTTGTTGCTATCAGCTGTCGTCGAGTCACCTCCTAACTCACAAACACATGCATGACGGAATGGAACACTACCCAGTTCTATGCACTCCCCATGATTAGCTGCAGATCAGGCCACAGGGCTTTCTTGAGCTGATTTTTAGAAGTATATAGGCAGGCCTTTCTTCTTGGTCCATTTTAATACAGAAACTCTGCTATAACCTGTTCAGTATCACAGCAACACGCAAACCTCCACTGACAGATGGGTGGTAACAGTGTAAGAGATATATTGGCTGGGAATCAAACTCAGGTCTCCTGCATGGAAGGTGAGAATTCTACCACTGAATCACCATTGTCTTCTGCTGTCAGAGAGTATCCCCAAACCTGATCAGATCATATCACCTCCCTGCTCAAGACCTTGAGGCTGCCTATAGGATCAAGACTGGAATCTTAGTTTGACCGAACCAACCACCAGTCTCCACACACCACACTGCATTTCTCAGTATCACCCAGACAGTCCTGTCTCATTCCTGCATCTTGGCCTTTGCCCACATAGTTTCTTCCACCTTTAGCCTCTTCTACCCCAGACAAACTTCAACTCATCCTTCAGGGCTGTGTTCAAACATCACCTCCTCTATGATGCCCTCTGAGGCAGTATATAGTCCCCAGAACTCTGCTCATACCTAAAGCACTGACCACACTATTGCCCTTATTTGTTTAGAACCTGCCCATTGCACCCTCCATCCACCCAACACCTGGTACCTTGGACAGGAGCTGGGGCTTGGTCCTAGTCCACTTTGAATTCCCAATGAACTGGTATTATAGGAAAGAACTCCATTCAAAAGTAATACATTAAATTTAAAACAAAAGCATACTAACAAAGAGGACTTCAGCAGCATTGAAATAGGATTTAAAAAAAAAAAAAGTCATCTCCCGAAAGGTACCCAAATTTTAGATAAGACACTGAATTAGTGAAGCCATGAATTTAGAACTGAAATTTCTGGTTCTGGGTAATTCAGTCAAAAACTCATCGGCCAGAAGCAGCCATGGCTTCTTGATTCTCATTTTATGCTAGAAGTAGCCCCAAGGTCCAGACCACACCTGGGCCTCCAGTGGATAGCCAGGTGAGTTGATACAAACCGTGTGTGTGTGTGTGTGTGTGTGTGTGTGTGTGTGTGTGTTGAGGGGAGGTGGAGTTAAAGCTGGGTAACTAGCAAAGCAGTTTGCAGACAGCTTCGGGCCAAGTAAGTGCCCCACAAAGCCCCTCTTCCCACCTGTCTTTCTCTCCTCAATTGGCTAAAAGAATCTCTCCAGAGAAAATCAGACCTTGACATCCCAGAGGCACAGGGGAAGAAAGAACTACCCTCCCCCAACCAAGAGAAAGGCCGGACCCTCCCACCAACTGGCTCCTGAGTGGCAATGGAGACCTGCAAACATCTCAGAATCCAATGCGGGTTGACTCACAAGTCATGGAAGTTGCACAGGGAGGAGGCTGAGGTGAAGACATCCAGGAGCCCAATGACCTGGGGAAAAAAGTCACTAGTGAGGACTGGACAGCCAATGCCATCTCCTCACCCCTCCCTCAGGGTCCTAGCCACACACAGGACCACCACTCTTTCCTAATACATCTCTCCAGCAGGAGCAAGTCCCCACCTAAGTTTTGAGAGATTACTTGAGATAAACAGTGATGAGTCAGGTTGGGGAGAAGGGAAGGGGGACGTTCCTATGCTCATTGTTCCCAATTCTGATGCAAGAAACACAAATCCAGTTTCAACTCAAGCAGGGACCCACAGGTGACAAAGGATGTAAAGGAGGGGCTGGAAAGAAGCCTTCCAGCCATCAGGCTTTCTACCCTTGACCTTGGGTCTCCAGCTACATCCATCCTTGCCTGCCACAGGGCTGGTTTGGAACCAAGGGCAAGATCACCCTTGGCTAGAGACCAAAGGGGAGGGATTTGCTGGAGAGGGAACGGACTAAAAATGTGCACAATATTTTGAAATCATGATTTTAATTGCTTGCCCTCCAATGTAGGTGTCCTGGAACAAAAGCTGGTTGCCAGGCCCAGCACTGGGTCACCAATTTTCCTAGCCATTTCTATCAGACAGGACAATGCAACACAACCATTGCCGTGTAGTCGGATCTGACTCATAGCAACCACTCCTGGGGTTTCTGAGGCAGTATCACTACGGAAGTAGATTGCCCAACCTTCCTTCTGAGTAGTGACTAGTGGGTTTGAACCACCAGCCTTCTGGTTAGCTGTCAAATGCCTTAGGCACTATGCTACCAGAGCTCCTCAGACAGGACAGTGTAATGGTTATGCACTCAGACCTGGAGTCAGGTTGCCTAGGATCAAATCCTCTAACTACCCATATAACCTATGAGCCTTTCTGTGCCCCAGTTTCCCCATCTGTGAAATGGAGGTTTGACTCGATGGCACATAACAACAACAAATTATTACCTCATTTGGCATTGTGAGGATTAAACAAGTTAGTTTATCCAAGCTCTTAGAGGCCGGCACACAATAAGTGCTCAATAAGTATCCAGTATTATTATTATCTGGGTCACACGTGAAAACAACAGTAGCCAGGAGTCTAGTACCAGCGGGCCACCAGCTCTAGGGCCTAGAAAAAAATCACAAAGTTCTTCTGTGTCTGTTTCCTCATAACAGTGAGACAGTATGTTTGCACCTTACAAAGCTCATTCTGCTCCGTTGCCACAACTACTCTTTGCACCCTTCCTGGGAAGTGGTCAAGACAGGTCCTGACATCTCCATTTTCATAACAAGGTGAGGAAAGTTAGGGTCAGTGGGAACAGGGATGAGAGCTTAGTCTCTGGACTCTGATCAGCGCTCTCTTTACTCTCTCAGGCTGTCTCCATCACACACCCAGGGGCCTTCCCCAAAGTAACCCCAGGCCCAGCCTACATTGTCATGCTGCATGTGTTTCAGCAGCAGCAGCTCACGATATGCCCGCTTGGCAAAGACCTCGGACTGGAAGGGTCGGCACAGCTTCTTGATGGCTACCTTCTCCCCTGACCGCTTGTCGATGGCAGAGCTGTAGGGGCACAGGCTGGTCAGCTGGTAGCACTTACTCCAGATCTGGATGGCACTTCCCAGGTGGCTCAGGAGCCCAGAAGGTCCCCTCACTTCCTACCCTCTCATCCTTCTGGTGGGCTAAGCCAGGAGGGAGATGATGCCCACCACCTAGAATGTGGGGGAGCAGAGGAAGCGCAATGCGGAGGGGGCAGAAACAGAGGTGCACCCGCAGCAGAGTCAGACACACGTTTAGACGGACAAGGTCAGGTGCAAGGCGGGAACCTCACTTTCCATTCAACCAGGCAAGTCATTTCCTCCTCTTTGGGCCTCAATGTAGCTCTCATTTAACGCTGAGAGAGCCACACAGCCACCCAGTGAGAAAAGTGAGATAGCGCTATGGCAATCTCTGCCACAGCCTGAGGCTTCTCATCCATTCTGCACTCGGTTGCCCAGCCTCCCTCCTCCTTCCGGCTCCAGGAAAAGTCCCTGGGAGGGCCTTCAAACTGCAGGGCGCTGGGCCCTGGGGTTCTTGGTTAAGGTTGTGGGCGTGAGGCTTCGAGCGCCCAGCAATAGGAGACTCCCAAAGACGCCCGAGAGGGCAGGTGCAGCGGCCCAGGACCCGGCTTGTGAGGCGGCCCCTCCCAGCGTCCACTCACCCACCGCCTCGACGGCCTCGAGCCCCCCGCGGCCCCCAGCGGCTGCGCAAGCCTAGGGATCTCACCACACGGCTCCATAGGCACCGCTGCCTACATGAGTCGGTGACACGTAGGTCTTGGGCAGCTCCCAGACAGTCTTGTTGATGTCCTGCTTGTAGAAACCCTTTTTCCGGACGAGGTTCATTCCCGGCACTCAGTCTCGGAAGCCTCAGAACGGCAGCTGCGTTCGCGGCGCGCAGGGCTCCCAGAGCCCGGGTCCCCGCCCGCGGTCCCAGGCCGAGCCAACCCCGAGCCGTCCGCCCCTCCCCTCGCGAGGGCGGGGACACCGGGACCGCGACGCGTCCCACCTGCCGGCGTGCCCAGGTGCACGGGCGCGGCCGCTCTTGGGCCTGCCCCGACAGCCCTGTTCTGGGGAGAACCTTGTTTCCATCCAGGTCTCAGAGTGTGTGTCCAGGAGGATAGACGGATCCCGAAGCGGCAGGCGCGTACCACTAGAATAAACTCGGGGCTGTCCTGCCAGAACACAGAGCTTCCTGGCCCAGTGTGGGGGACTAGGACTTGTGGACCAGAAGATTGGGAAGAGGGCGTCTCCTAGCTCTCTTATAGCCTGGACTTTGTAGAAAGAGCTCCCCTGGGATTTTGAAGACAATTTCAGATAAAAACCAAAACCAGACAAAATTTGTTATTGTGGAAAATTTCAAACATACACAAAAGTGGATAGACAAGCCCAGTGCTTCTCACACTTGAATATGCGATTGAATCATCTGGGAATTTTATTAAAATGCAGATTCTCATTCAGTAGCTCTGGGGTGGAGCCATCACCAGTCTGCATCCCTAATCAGCTCCCAAGCTTGGAAGGCTGAGGGGGCCACAGTTTGAGTAGCTCTAACAAACCCCATAAGAAGCTTTGGTGGTGTAGTGGTTAAGGCATTTGGCTGCTAACCAGGTCAGCAGTTCAAACTCACTTCTGCCCTGCAGAAGGAAGATGGGGTGATCTACTTCTATAAAGATTTACAGCTTTTGAAACCCAATGGGGGTCACTATGAGTTGGAATTGACTCCATGGCAGTGAACCCCATAACCCCAATCCCTCAGCTTTAACAATGACACGAACTCATGGACAGTTTTGTTTTATCTACACACCCTTTTCCCAACCCCATTATTTTCAAACAAAACCCAGACATCATATTTCATCCACATTTTTTTTTTATATCCCTAAAAGGTAAGAATTCTTTTTAAAACATAACCACAATGTAATTTTACACCTAAAATGAATAACAGTAGTTCCATAATATCAAATATCCAGTTTTGAGCACAGTTTTTTCTGGCTTCTTAATGTCCCAGGAGGGCAATTACAAACTAGGGCTTTCTACTGCCTGTCTGGTGGTTTATGTAGCCTGAAGAAGATGGTTCTGTGCTCAAATTAAGTCCTAGAGTTTCCTTAGGAACAAAGAGGAGGGCTCTGAGTGCCCCTGTCTGGGATCCCTTCCCTCCTCCAACTTGTCCAACGCATGATGGCCTAGAGATGAGGGTGAGGAACGAGTGGGGAGCACTTGCTTCACTTTGTCAAAGGGAGAGAGAAGAGGTCTTGAAGAAGGACAGGAACTCGCTCATGGCCTACAGCAAGCTGGAGATTTGCACTAGGGAATCTGCAGACCCCAAACTTAGCACCACACCTGTCCCATGAAGACCACCTTGGCCTTCCTTGCTCAAGAATAGCCTGGAAGATCATTTTGGGATGAGGATGCAGGGATCCTACAGAAGTGCCCAACAGACATTATGGGCAGGGAATTGGTCTTATTCGTCTCTGGCACACAATAGGATCAAGAAGTATATTGAGAATGAATGGAGGAGTCGGCCCATTAGAAATTAAAAACAAATAATAATAATAAACACTGATGTTTTTCAGTAAGTGCTCAGTTGCTAACTGAAAGGTTGGCAGTTCAAACCTGCTAGCCGCTCCATGGGAGAAAGATGTGGCGGTCTGTTTCTGTAAAGATTTACAGCCTTGGAAACTCTATGGGGTGGTTCTACAGGGTCACTGTGAGTTGGAATTGACTTAATGGCCATGGGTTTGGTTTTGGTTTGGTTGTGTTTGTCATGTGCTAGTCATTATTCTAAGTGGTTTACATATACAACTCACTTAATCCTGGTCAGAGGCCAATGAATCAGTAGTGTTATTATCCTATTTAAGAGATGAGCAACCTGAGGTACAGAGAGGTTAAGTAAGTTGCCCAAGGTCACACAGCTGGTAAGGGGCAGAGATAGGTGAAGAAGCTAGTACAGCCTGGTTTTAGAGTCTATGCTCTTGGCCTGCAGGTTGAAAGGAGAGACATTGCTCCTTTGAGGAAATGGCCTGTGTTTCAAATCATCTACTTCATCAGCATCTTAAGAATGTGTCTATAGATCAAACCATGTTTCTCTCAGTCCATCCTGTCCCAACACATTCTCTGCCTTCTTCCTAGTCCCACCCCCCACTCTAGCCCTGAGACCTATCAAGAGGAGAAGGAATTGTGGGCCTGGGGGCGGTGCAGCATTTCAGACCTCTGGGGTGGATGGTGCAGTGGAAAGCACCTTGATTCTGAAGCTGGGCAGTGTTAAAAAAATAATCAAAGCACAAAGAAATTAAAATATAGGGTTTATTTCAAGCAATTATTCTAATGCATATAGGAAGACCATTCTGATTCCAAAGAACAAATGGCTCAATGTAGGCTAGGTACAATGACGTTTATAAAGAGAAGAGGAAGGAGAAGGACAGAAAATCAACCACTGGCTAATGTTAATGAGATTTTTGAACCCTGTCCCCCACTACTGATAGCTAACATCAGATTTTAAAATAAGGGTACCTCATCTCTCAGGAAGGAAAAGAAATTACCTAGTTATTAGATAAACTTTTAGCTAGCTATACTTAACAATGTCTTTGTCACAAAGGGGTTGGCAAAGATATTATCACTGTGTTAAACGGGGCCTCAGTTTCCTTATAATTAGTACTCTTAGAAGCTGGAAAAAAAACCCAACAAGTTAATAGTTTTACAGTTTTTGGGGGTCAGCCTTTTACTGTTAATTTTGGGTAAGAGAAACTGTTAATTTTGGGTAAGAGAAACTGTTAATTTTGGGTAAGAGAAACTGTTAATTTTGGGTAAGAGAAACCCCTTGGAATCAAAGAAATATGTCCATTTTTTTTTTTCTTTTTTTTTTTTTCCCCCACATCAAGGCCCTGGAAAGCAGAGCATGGAGCTAGGGCACAGGCCAAGGAGCAGTATCTAAAGACTCAGGCTTCCTTCTGGGTCCAGTTCTCTCCAGGGTAGGGAAGGGACTGGGATTTGGGGCCAGACCCTGGGAAGAGGGATAAAGATGTGGCTGCATTCTCTCTGCTATATCTTGAGAACAGGAGTGTGGCAGAGGAGAGCCCAGGAACGTGAGGAATATAAGGGGCACACTTGTTGCCCAAGCAGGTGCAATCCTGGCAGGCACACAACCCGCCACCCTGGCTGTGGCTCTACATGCCTCTTGAGCAAGGGCCAGGAAGTGACTCAGGCTCAGCTGACACTGACTCCCACCTCGGGCCTGAAGAGGCCCGTCCCCCACCCTTCAGCCTGTGTTTACTCAGCAGCTTGACAGCCTCTGAGGAAAGCAGAGAAGTTCCCGCGCTTTGGAGGATCCATTCCTGGCAATCAGTGAGTGAGTGAGAAAGAGGATGGATTCACTAAGGACTTCCTGGATGCTCCCCTCCCACAGTCTACCCAGTCTCTCCTCTTGGAGCTCTAAGGCCCTTTGGCTCTTCCTCAGACACTGACCCAATATTGTCTTGTTGGTTTCTGCCCTACTAACATTGAAGCAGGGGCTTGGCTTAGGGAACCAACTTTGGAATGATATCTGAATTGGTGTCTGCTGTGCCACTTACCGGGAGCTCTGGTAGCGTAGTGCCTAAGGCATTTGACTGCTAACCAGAAGGCTGCTTACCATCTGTGTATCCTGGACAAAATGCTTTTCCCTCTGAGCTTGAGTGTCCTCCTTATAAAATGTGGGTGATTTTAAAGTACAACAAAACCTGTTGCAGTTGAGTCAATTCTAACTCAGGGTGACCCCATGCGTTACAGAGTAGAATGGTTCCACAGGGTTTTCTTGGCTGTGATCTTTATGGAAAGATAGCACCAGACCTTTCTTCTGTGGTGCCACTGGGTGAGTTTGAATCAACAACCTTTAAAAAAAAAAAAAGAAAGAAAACCAAACGTGCTGCCATTGAGTTGGATCCGACTCATAGCAACCCCTCCTTGGGTTTAATAGTGACCCCTCCTTGGGTTTCATAGACCCTCCCTGGGTTTCATAGTGACCCCTCCTTGGGTTTCTGAGGTAGTAAATCTTTATGGAAGTAGATTGCCCAGTCTTCCTTCCACGGAGTGCCTGGTGGGTTTGAACTGCCAAACTTCCAGTTAGCAGTCAAATGCCTTAGGCACTATGCCACCAGAGCTCCTTTTAGGTTAATAGTTGGGTCCAAACGTATGTGCCACCCATGGACCTTTAAAGTCTGATAAGTAGATTTTTAAAGAGTCCTTGGAACATATTATTCCAACAGTACTATATATAAATTCCTCACAACCACCCTCTGAAATAGGGACTGTCAGTGGCTCCAGGCTAACATCCCCTAGAGCATCCCTGCAGATGAACAAGTTGGGTTCCTTGCTCATTGCAGCAAGGGAGAACACACACCATGGGGAGCTGTGGTGGTATCTCAGTAACAGGTATCAGAAAGGACTTACCAGTTTTGGGCTTATGTTAGGTCTGACTCTGGGGCTGGGTTTATGGCAGAGTTCTGTTCTGGCTTGAATGCTGTCAGGGAACGGGAGTAATTCTATGATTGAGCATCTTAGTAAATCTTACCCAGAAGGAGGATAGACAGGAGCAAGGCAAAAGCTGTGCTTGATAAAGCAGTAGCAGTCACTTGTGTTAGCCGAGGGAAGGGGATGTCTGGTCATTTTTGTGGTTTGGACAATATCCATGTTTTGTCTGTGCACAGGCATGGTTATGCAGAGATCTTGTCTTTGTGTTGATCCTGTATCGTCCCAGATGGCCTTGTCTGATGTTGAAGTTCTGTGAAATTGTTTATGTTTGACAGGAGAACACCACGATCAAGCTGTGACAGACCGGCTCCTAGCAATGCCAAGCCTCGGCAGATGTCAGAGCTGCTTTTATTTGACTCTGGTACAGATGGAGATACTGAGGCCCAGAG